ACCTGGAGATTACTTTGTTAATGTATTCAGCCTGTGATAACATCAAAGTCCCCGACTTTGTGTCCCTCTTAATCCTCATCCCAATAATCTGTTTTGCATCGCCCAAATCTTTCATTGCAAACTGCTTCGACAATTTTTGCTTCAAGTTTATAATCTCTTGCATGTCTGAGTCTGCAACGAGCATGTCATCAACGTACAACAATAAAATAATAAAGATGTTGTCAAACTTCTTGATGTAACAACAATGATCTGCTTGACATCTGGTAAAACCATTGCTACCCATGAAGCTATCGAACTTCTTGTACCACTGTCTAGGAGCTTGTTTTAAACCATACAAGCTCTTCTTCAACCTGCATACCAGGTTTTTCTTGTCTACCTTTATGAAGCCTTATGGTTATGGCTGCCTCATATAGATTTCTTCCTCCAAATCACCATGAAGGAAAACTGTCTTCACATCTAACTACTCATGATGTAGATTCTCTGTAGCTATAATTTTCAACACCAGTCTGATTATAGACAGTTTCACGACTGGAGAGAAAATTTCATTGTAGTCAATACCTTCTTTTTGCTGAAAACCTTTGACAACCAATCTTGCTTTGGAGCGTTTGCTCCCATCGTGCTCTTCTTTGATCCTATAAACCCACTTGTTATGGAGCGCTTTCTTGCCTGGTGGTAATTCAGCTAATTCCCACAACATATTTGACATAAGCGAGTCTATCTCATCTTTCATGGAAGACTCCCACTTGACTGAATCCTTCACCTGCATTGCTTCATCATAACATTCTGGTTCACCATTGTCAGTCAGCAACAAGTAGTGCAAAGAAGGCGAATAACGCTGGGTTGATTTAGGAATTCTAGAGGAGCGTCTCAGTTCTGGTGTGCTTGATTCTTCTTGAACTGCTTCAGGACTGATCTAAACATCATTTCCATAAATCTCCTCAAACTCAGCAAATTCATTTGTTTCAGCTTCAGTATTGGATCTACTTGATTCTATGGTTGATCTTTGTACATCACATTCTCATTGAAAATGACATCTCTTCTTTTGATGATCTTTCGATTTTCATAGTCCCAAAAACGGTAACCAAACTCATCACCACCATAACCAACAAAGACACATTTGTTGGAATTAACATCAAGTTTACTTCTTTCAGCAGAATTTATGTGTACATAAGAAATACAACCAAATACTCTTAAGTGTGAAAGGTTTATTTCTTTTCTGCTCCAAACTTCCTCTGGTATTCCGCCATCCAAGAGAACTGAGGGCCCACGGTTGATCAGGTAAGCTGCAGTGTTGATAGCTTCAGCTCATAGCAATTTGGGCAAGCCGACATGTATCCTCATGCTTCTGGCACGTTCATTCAGAGTTCTGTTCATGCGTTCTGCTACGCCATGGGAACTATTGTCTCCATCTTGATCCCATTGTTTGTGCAAAATTATCTGAATCTACTATTTCTGTACTCTCCTCCATTATCAGACCTCAACCGCTTGACTTTCAAATCAGTCTCATTTTCCATCACGACCTTCCATTTTCTGAAGATATCAAAGACTTCTGATTTCATCTTCAGAAAATAAACCCACACATTCCTTGTAGAATCATCGATGAAGGTGACATAATATAGTGAGCCTGCAAGAGATGAAACTGGAGATGGTCCCCATACATCAGTATGAACAAACTATAACTTTTCAGCCTTGGGTGTCTTGCCAATTTTTGCAAAACTGACTTTCTTTTGTTTGTCAAAGATGCAATCCTTACATATTCCGACATCTATACTCTTTAGATCCGACACCTTCCCTTTTGAAAAAAGTGTCTTCATCCCTTTCTCGCTCATATGGCCAAGCCTTTGGTGTCATAGGTTTGATTTTCCATCAACATCTGCTACTGCAATGATATTCTTCAAATTTGAAGTTGCATAGAGAGTATCAGTCTTCTTACCACGAGTAATGACGAGTGTTCCTTTGGTAATCTTTCATTCACAGTCTGAAAAGGTTGTAAAATATCCTTCTCCATCAAGCTTTCCAACAGAAATCAAATTTCTTTTGAGGACACGAATATGTCTCACTCCTTTCAGCTTCTAGGTGGTATGGTTTGGAAACTTTAATCGAATATCTCTTTTTCCAACGATCTTCAAAGTTTCATCATCAGCTAGATGAACCTTCCCAAAATCACCACTGATATAATTCTCCATGATTTCTTGGCATGGGGTGGAGTGGAAAGATGCCCCTGAATCCAAGATCCATGATTCAATCGAACTGTTGACGCTTAGAATTATGGCATCACTTGTTTCCTCTGTCACGTTGACAGATTCCTGTGCGCCAGTATCTTTCTTCGGTGCTCGACAATCTTTTTTAAAATGACACTTCTTGCCGCAATTATAACAATTAAAATATTTTTCATGTTCTTGATTTTTTCCTTTTAGATTTCGATCTGCCACGATTTGGATTTCTTTCTGAAGTTCTCCCTCTAGACTTCGTGTGCAAGGCTGAGGAGCTTGATGCTTCACCCGATTCTCTCGATCGAATTTTTTCACTTAATACCAGATCCCGAACATCGTCGAATTTCAATTTAATGTTTCCCGACGAGCTGCTGACTGTTATAACAGTAGCATTTCAACTGTCTGGTAGAGATGATAAGAGAATTAAAACTCGAACTTCATCATCGAATTCAATTTCCACGGAACTCAACTGGGTTGTGATTGTGTTGAGTTCATTTAGGTGTTGAGCCACTGATACCCCTTCCGCCATCCGCAAATTAAATAATCTCCACATCAAGTGAACTTTGTTTGAGGCCGATAGCTTCTCATACATACTGGGGAGAGCCGCGCCATAAGACCCGCCGTGGTCTTTTTATTTGCTATGTTGAAAGCAACATTACGGGATAACTTCAGTCGAATAACTCCGAGGGCTTGTCTGTCGAGAAGAGCCCAATCTTCATTCTTCATGCCCTCTGGTTGCTTTCCTAAGATAGGTTGATATAGATTTTTCTGGTACAGAAAATCTTCAATCTGTATCTTCCAAAAGCCAAAACCCGCACCATCGAACTTCTCAATTTTCACATTCCCTTCGTCTGCAGCCATTACTCCCACTCGAATCTGGCTTCTTTTGGATCGTTTCTAACAATTCTTGCGAACCACCGTGTATTAGAACACCTCCGTCGACAAACTCATATCGCTGACCAAATTTTACTATTCACGAAATTCACTATTCACGTAAATAGTAACCTCGCAGAAAACTGATAAAATTCACCACGAAAAGCTATTGATATCAGTTGTTGGGAAATTAAACGAGTAATTTCCCCATAACCAGATTAGTGAGAATGCGAAATAAAAGCAGAAAAATAATATCCGAAATTGATAACGGAGTTCGCCCAATTTTGCGTACGTCTCCAGACTGCTGCAGATCTTTTACTAAAGAGAGAAAATTTACAGGTGTTTACAAAACACTCACAACCCACAAGAAAACTCTCTAAACTCTTTAGTATTGAGAGAAAAAAATGATTTGGGATGATTTTGAAGCTAAATGGGTTAAGGTATTTATAGTTGAAGCTTATAGACTAATCTTGTAAATACCCTAAAGTACAGAGGCTAAATTTATAATTTTTCCATTACAATTTTTCAACAAAAATCTGTCAAACTTTGAACCATGCACCATTCAATGTCAAACTTTGAACCATGCACCATTTGGTGCCAAACTTTGAACTTTCAACATCTATTTGGTGTAGATGCATGATTTTTCTGCATTGATTCCACCCTTCAGCAGCTCTGTTTCCTCTGAAGACAAATCCCACAACATATTTATAATCATTGACCAACTTATGAGCCTTTAGTATCTTGACTTGTGAAGCAATAATATGCTTACAGTGAAACTGAACAACAAATGGAGGAAGAACGCAATGATGTTGACAATCAAATTGCTCAAAAAATATCAATCTCTCACACCCGAAAAAGCATGGCTATTAAAATTGAGCAATTTCGCCCCAAAATAATTAGCAAGTGCCTTTGCCAACGTCTCCTGATATATCTCAGACCCTGCATAAACATTTGAAGTAAAAAAAATGAAAAACAGAACCCTTAATTTAGCAGTTTAATGCCACAGATACAAAAAAATACATTGTATTGACAAAACAGACCTGCAGGACCAAAGAGTAAAATCCTCGGATTCAAGAGGTTAGCTCTGAAGTATAATTAGCATGCTTTTTGTGCTTGAGGTAAATAAATGAAGCTGCTATCAGCACATTTGTTTGTATTTTCACGGGAAAGATAGAAATTCACCAATTAATGATGCATCATTATGCAAATAAATAACCAAACAACTCTGATCATTTTGAATTATTTGGAGGAAAGTTCAGAATGCATAGAAGAAAAGATAGCATAAAGTTCACTAGTTAAACAATAATAAGAACAGTGCACAATCTGCATAAAGACAAAACAATCTCGAATTACTACTCATCACAGGTTGAATTAAACTTAAATAGCCTGTACCAGAACCATCAGATATGCTATCATCACATGCCTAGATGGTAGCAGACACATTGAAGAAAGGTAATTAAAGTGCCTAATTTATTTATCACTCTTCCTTTCCTTGCCTAATAGTCTCTCATGCTCAATAACAGAGTTCCGCTACTAGATTCAAACCAGAGCACGATTTGGTACCTAATTTAGCTTCTGGCAAGGGGTAAAATATTTCTTTAATAAAAAAGAGACACATGCACAAAGTTCTAGTATACCTCAAATAATATGTGAAGTTTTCAAACGACACTTCTAATTTTCGGCCATCAAGAATTCCTGCATGAAGTTTCGCTTTGAATACTGCTTTGCAGGATGAAGCAATTATTGGTGATGCTGGTTGTGAATCCTTTGTCCCATCATTTCGTTCGTTGAATACCTGTTTACAGATACTTCTGCAAAATTTCAGATCACAACTAGTTGTTGGAGAAAACATCCTCCAGAAATGTCATGGTAAATCATTCAGCCAGAGAGTTACAGGATGCCTGCCTCTGCTTCTGTTCCAGATGGCAATATGTTGGCCCCAGTAACAGCTGTTGGATCTCCTGCATTCAGGACCTTTGCATCCTTAACTGCAACAAAATTCCTGAGTAGCTGAAATATCTAAATCGAGAGAATCAAATCAAGGAGATGACAAAAATAAGCATAGACAAAGAAACACATAATCAGCAACATGAAGATTAAAAGGACAAGCAATAGATTGACTTTAATAAATTGCCAAAAAGGATACATATGCATATTACACCGACAACCCGAAGACAACCTCATCACCCGAGTTAAGCATGCAAGTAGATTACTGCCTTTGCACTGATTATGTCAACAAAAAATGAGTACTCATACTGCATGTACATAATGAGTCTATCTTCAAAAAGCATACATACACACAAATATAAAAATTGAAAGAAAAAAAAGCAGGAAGAAAGAAACACAAAATGTGAAACCCTAAATCCACAGAGAAAAAGCACGAATTCCTCTTGTATGCAGAATCATTCTTGATTTTGTAGCAATCCGACAAAAAGCAACAAATGGAATGTAAAAATTTGGGTGATACCTGAATGTGTTTGATCGTAAAAAGAAGTTGACTAACTGCCTGGTCCATATGTAATTGGAAATTGCAAAGTCCACTCGAGCCTATTGCGAATTTTCATGTGCAAATGAGAACATTAGGGTTCTGCAGGGATATCCAACTCATTACAAATAATAAAATAACTTTTATTTAAGTTAAATATATATGCATACATACAAGTATATATACACAGAGAGAAGATTCTTATCCAAAAGATGATGTTTCAATACCAGCCGAGACTGTGACAAAAGCACGCACCAAGGTATAGGTCTATAACCAACTGGCTGAGAAACTTTAAAAACAAGATTATCCAAATTCAGTATAAAAAAAAAGTTCCACAAAAGCAAATGAACATCCAAACATAACTCGAACACACTTAAGTTCAATAAAAGATATGACGCATCTCAAAACTCTCAAATTCAAATCCAAATTCAAATAACGTAAGGTGCAACAGCCGATGATGCCTCTTCCTTTCTGGCATTCACACTGTCTTCGGCGATCTGAGCCTGGGAGCTGTCACGATCTCCGGGATCCACAACTGGAGTCGTACACTTTTCTTTCGCACTCTCCTCTTCCGCCGTCGGTCTCTCCTCGTTGTTCACCTGATAAAAAAAGGAGCCAAAAAGGTCAATAACTAACTACTCGAATCAGGCATTCTCAAAAAAAAAAAAAAGATTTTGGTGCGTTTCATGCCAACACCTTTTGCCGTTTTCGAGACTTATCTTCAGAAGAAGAATCCGTACTACTGTCACGAGAGCTTAATTTATTTTTTCTTAGTGAGAGAGGTTTATATAGCAATTGAGTTGACTGATCACATTTCTTGATTTTCTTGCTTTCCTTTTCTAAAGAAAATAGAAATGAAAAATTACAAGAAAAAAAGGGGGGGTGGTACTGGTGTGTGATATTATCAAGCGTAAGGGCCAAAATTTATTTTTAATAGATTTTCATTTTTTATGTAGATATAGAAGAGGATAATTATTTAAAATTAATTATAAGAAAATTATTAATATAATAAAAAGGGTAAACTACTCGTTTAGTATATAAATTATCAGTTTTAATCTATTTTAGTACTTAAACTTTCTATTTTTTTAAAAATCATACCTAACATTTAATTTTTATTTCATTTTAGTATTCGTCGTAAAAAACTTAACGCTCACACCCGGACATTCATGGTACTCGAATCTGAGACTTCAAGAAATAACCACAATTCTTTTACCACCAAAATTATTTGCTTTGCGCTATAAAATATTTTTTTTGAAAATTAGAAATGCTGTGGAATGGGTTTCACAGGAATTTACTTCATTTAACATCTTATTAAACGGGATCATACAGATTTTATGAGTGGTGAACGAGGATGAGAATAAAAGTTAAACCAGTCGTGGGTGATAGGTCAAACTTGAATCGTTGTTTGTATCATTACAAATGGAGGTGGAGGATTATGTTAAAACCTGATCAGTTAGAGTGCTAATAAAGATCTTAAACAAGGCTTAAAATTAAAGTAAAACAAAGAGAACATCATTAATAAGTGTATATAATATATCATGTTTTAAATTGGGAAGATTAATTATGATTCATGGGTTAAACTCTGCATGTGAGGTACCAAGAAAATTAGGGTTTGGATTTTATAAAGCTACTCTCTTCTTAGAAAATTCGAGTTATAAAATTATCGAATCGATTTTCAGTTTAGATCATTTAAATATGATATGAGATTCAAATTCTCTCAAATTAAATTAGATTATATTTAAATTTTAAATTTGAATCATATTATATCGATTAAGTTGGAATTAATCATAATTTATAGATTGATCTTTGTTTCTTCTCTGTATTCACCTGAAAGTTAGTTGAGCCATGTGTAAGATTTCTTAATTCTCTCTGTGATTGATGTAGCTAGGACATTGTTTAGGTAGCATAGATGAGATTCAAGGAATGAAGTATATGGTAAGTTTTTAACTATGTCGATCATATATAAAAATGATAAAATATTGAATGGTTGGGTCTGATTGATTTTATTTTTGAAAACAAATCGGTCGAGTTAGTTTAGGATGAAAAATCTTCAATTCGAATCAAAATAATAGGAAAAATAATTATTATAGTACCTCTCTCTATAATAATTTATAAATTAAATATCTTTTTTATCGAATAAAAATATTTTTTCACATTTTTGTTAGATTAAATCGAATGCAGATTTTTACCATAAAATTCGAGTCAAGTTTTTTATATCAGTTAACTATGAGTGAAAAAAATTAAAATAACATATTAAATTCGACTTCGAATTAAACTCAAATTGCATGAACAAATTCTCCCCCAATGAAATTTGTTGTTTCACAAATCCCTTTAGCTGAACTTGGCTAGCGAAGTGAAATGTATGTATATGTAACTGAAAACTCATTTTTTACAGACAAAAATCACTTTCTTGGATGCATTTACAAGTAGAGCATAGTTTTTAGGAAGATATACGAAGAAGGCCTTCAGACGAAGTAGCTGGGAGCCTCCTTTCGTCTCAAACCACACTCGCCGTAGAGCTCGTTCCATTGACGCAGAGTTCTCATGTTCACAGACTCCGACCATATGCTGACATGTACTCTTTCATGAGCATTTTTAAAGTCCTCCATGTTTAAAGGGCGTAGGTCGGAAGTCTTGCTCGAAGGTGGTGCAGGTTTGCCTTCGGCTCGAGCAGCGGCTTGTTCCTGCCATCAATGTTGAAAACAAAGTCGGTTTGACATAAACAACCCGATTGCAATTCCTAATTACTAATTTCATTGACTCAACCTTCATTACCTTTTCCTCCTTTTCAAGAATCTCTTGAATTGGACAGTGCGCAGCAGTCACACACAGATTCTGCAACAAAAAACAAGTAAACAATCAGTCATCTAAATCATCATAAGGAAAAAAGCAGTCTGGAGTTTAATGTAACCTTAAGGTCGCTCCCGGAATATCCGTCCGTCATACTCGCAATAGCATCCAAATCAACATCAGAGGACACGTCCTCTTTTTCTAGAATAGCATTGAGTATCTTTGCTCTATTTGCGCCATTCGGCAGGTCCACCATCAATCTACCAAAATTGAGGAACTATTAGTATATGGTACCCATCAAATTAAAAGAGCAATGTTTAACTCAAAGGTGAATGTCTGTTTCTTTTATCAAAGAAGAACCGAAATGATACTTCACCTGCGTGGCAGCCTTCGAATGACAGCCTCATCGAGGTCATAAGGCCTATTAGTGGCAGCAAGTACAAGAACCCGTTCGGTGTCTTTTGTAAGTAGACCATCCCAATTCATCATGAATTCATTTTTCATCTTACGCATGGCTTCATGCTCCTGGGAAATATCCCTCTGCTTCAACATGCTATCAACCTATATAGTTCAGTGCAGGGATGAGAGGAAAACCACAATGACTTTGGGATAACCCCCGGAATTAAAATTTGAATCAAGTATCACGAATAACCAACCTCGTCAATAAATATGACACAGGGAGCGATTTTACTAGCTAGGGAAAAAACAGCTTTAACATATTTCTCACCATCACCATACCACTGCAGAAAAAGAGATAAAAGTTTCATATAAGATATGACACCATGGGAAAAGAAAATCAGTCGAAAAGGAACAACAAAATCAACCTTCGATGTGAGGCTTGACATTGATATACTGATGAAGTTTGCACCAGCTTCCGTAGCAACGGCCTTTGCCAGCATGGTCTTTCCGGTTCCGGGAGGTCCAAACAAGAGTATGCCCTTGCAAGGCTGATTATTTTTACATAAAAATCAACAAATGACATAAAAAATTGAAATGCAGAAGCGTATTGCTATATGGTAAATAAACCTTGGTTAGCTGCCCCTTGCAGAAGAGTTCAGGCCTCTGTAAAGGAAGCATGACCAACTCCTTTAATGTATCCTTCACCTTTTCAAGTGCTCCAATATTGTTAAAGGTAACTCCAATGTCATCCGGTGGAACGACATCAGCTAAAAGCTTCCTCTCGAATTCATTTTCAGTTACGACATTCTGTTATGAGCAAAACAACCACGATGAAGATTTAATGGTCGGTCACATTCTAGTCAAAGAATACACCATAATTTTGAAATGAAAAGACAAATGAGACTCGATATTGTGCATCTCATTTCGAAGGCAGGTACAAAGAGGACCTTAAGTGACTTCTTCAAGCTTTTAGATTCATTCTTGATAGCCTGGAATATTCCGATGCCATACTGGATGCTGCCAGAATAACAATTAACTATGCAGATAAAAACATTATAACAGAAATGAGAAGATTTTTTCAGGTACCTTTCATAAGATAAAACAAGCCTCGAGTTAGCATCAGCTTCCGGATTCTGCTTTAGATGGTGACTTAGAGCCCATCCAACTACCTTCTCGGCGACTGCAAGGCATACCAAAATATAAAATTTATTGACAATTCCATACTGTTCTGCATTAGATGATGATATGTCAAAAGAAAACTTACTTTTATCTGTAAGGGTCAGATCCTTGATGCACAAACTTTCAAGCCCTTGACATTCCATACTATTCTGAACCAAAACCTACATGAATAACCAAAAGTATTAATTTCACTCAGAGATCTCCTGGGGACATTAAAGCCCCAAATAGAAGATAAAAAGCAACAAAAACGAATGTTGCTAACAGTTCGTAGGAGATCTAAGTTTGTCTTCATTTTCAGAGTTGCTGCATCATGATCCAATTGGAGCTTCCAAGATGTGAGCAGGGGTGCATCCTGCAGTAATACATAAGCTTCCATAGTATGTTCGATTTAAACATAAGCTTCGACAGTATGCTCGAGTTAAAACACATGTACAAGCAGTGCCACACAAACAGAATTTCTTATTTGGGATACACCAAACAAACCTGTGGCTTGCGAATGGTCACTTTGTTTGGAAAAAGCACAGCCAATATTTTTTTTTCCTTTGAAACTTCCTTCCCCTTGTCATGCCCCTTAGCACAGACAAAACGATCCTGAAAATTCCAAAAGAGTAAAAATGCCACGTATGCATTGAGGAAAAAACATATTTGCTAGCATAAAACTGAAAGTAGTATACAGATGAAAGAGCTTAATAAAACTGAAAGTGGACATTCATGTTTGATCCCAAGAACAACATATTATCTATAGACTCCAAATTTAATTCTCATAAGAGAATTGCCAAGAATATTAACTTCGAATTTCATGTAACATGCTCTGGAATCAGATAAATTAAATCCAAAATTTCTTCGACAAGAAAATACCAACCCCATCATTTGAAAACCACCCACATTCGTCATTAGTAAAAAAAAAAAAAAAACTATCTGTAAAGATTGAACCATTACCGGCAATGACAATCCAAAGTGACCAGTTTGAAGTATGTTGCAAGTCAAACCACCAGGATGTGACTACAAGGATAAAATGCCACAACATAAGATACTTCTAAATCTTTTAACGTTTAAATGAATACAAGTCATACTAAAAACACGAAATTGATAAGTTGTCATTAACCACTGATATAGTCTGCTTGCAATTTTGATTTCCAATTCTTTCAGGCATTAATTCTACTATTTTTTTTTTCACACCCAAAAAACAAAAAAACAAGGCGAATTTCCTTACCTTATGTTCAAAAGATTGAGCACGAGAACAAGTCAAAAGAGTTAACAACACAAAAAGCAAATGTACCTTCTCTTTATGATTGTCAGAATGAGTGTGAGAACCAATTACGATGACATTGTCGGGAAGCTTTTCAAGTTTTTCCTTAAACGTGTTACAAGAGTCATTTTCTGCGATAAACTCCTCATCATATTTTGCGAGAAACTTCTCAGCATCTTTCATAAACAAAATAAAAGGCGAAGTTCTGCTCTCATTGTGCACAACCTGATAAAAAAAGAAAGGTTTAGTTATAAAGAAACAAAAAATGGAAGCAAACCGCAAAATCAAGAATGTCACCTCAAACAATGCTTTAATATGTCTTTTGCCAAAGCCCGAGTTCTTCAAACAAAGAAGATCAGAACCTAGAGAGAAATGGAGAAAGACCCTTAATAATTAGAGGTAAGAAAAGCTTAAACATTGGACACAGTCATCAAAATGCGTATAGAACATCACCATTGCAGAAATACCCATAGCCTGGCTCACAATTTTGTCCAAGGTCAACACCGTCGGGAACGGGTTTATCAAACTGTACACCAATTTTTGAGAAAGGATTGTTCTTAAAAAGTAACACGACCCACCCACGAATCCCATAAGGTGGACCGCTGTAGATTGAATTGATAAAGAATGAATTAGAGAGTTGCAAAAAAAAAAAAAAAAAAATACGATAAGAACATGTGAGATAGGATCAAACCAAGAAAACCATATGCCTGTGTCATTGAGATCAGGTGGAAATGCATTTTCATTATAACCTTAAAAGAGAGATTACAAGGGAATTTAAAGGAATTAATTTAAGAACTTGTAAGATGGAAAGAGATTGCAGTACCTAGATGGAGACGCTGCTGGATTCATAAACTTTACTCTGTCACCTGGACGTTCCATGTTAGGGTAATAGTCGAAAAGTAAAAACTTATAAAATGTTAATAACACAAAAACCTTAAGTGAAAGGTCTTTCAGAAACTGTAAATACCTATATTAAACATTTGATTCTTAGATGTCCTAGATGAGGAAGGCATGGTAATAGCTTCTGTCATTGGTTGAGATTCCAGCACACACGCAGGGGCGGCCACAGGGCTTGAAGTTACTGCTTCAACAGTTGGCAAACCCTCGGCCAAATCAGTCGGTCCAGGGCTCTGTTTGGTGTAGATACATGATTTTTCTGCATTGATTCCATCCTTCAGCAGCTGTGTTTCCTCCGCAGACAAATCCTACAACATATTTATAATCATCAATTGACCAACTTATGAGCCTTTAGTATCTTGACTTGTGAAGCAATAATATGCTAACAGTGAAACTGAACAACGGAGGAAGAATGCAATGATGTTGACAATCAACTTGATCATAAAATATCAATCCCTTACACCCGAAAAAGCATGACTGCTAAAAATGAGCAATTTCGCCCCAAAATAATTAGCAAGTGCCTTTGTCAACATCTCCTGATATATCTCAGACCCTGCATAAACATTTGAAGTAAAAAATGAAACTCCCCCCTTAATTTAGCATTTTAATGCCACAAATACAAACAATACATTGTATCGACACAACAGACCTGCAGGACCAGAGAGTAAAATCCTCGGATTAACAGATGTTAGCTCTGAAGTATACTTGGCATGCTTTTTGTGCTTGAGGTGAATAAATGAAGCTTCTATCAGCACATTTTTTGTATTTTCACTGGAAAGATAGAAATTCACCAATTAATGATGCATCATTACAAAAATAAATAACCAAACAACTCTGATCACTTCGAATTATTTGGGGGGAAAGTTCAGAATGCATAGAAGAAAAGATAGCATAAGTTCACTAGTTAAACAATAATAAGAACAGTTCACAATCTGCATATAGACAAAACAATCTCGAATTACTACTCATCACAGGTTGAGTTAAAATTAAATAGTCTGTAGCGGAACAATCAGTTATGCTATCATCACATGCCTAGATGGTAGCAGATACAATTAAGAAAGGTAATTAAAGTGCCTAATTTACTTATTACTCTTCCTTTCCTTGCCTAACAGTCTCCCATGTTCACTAACAGAGTTCCGTTTCTAGATTCAAACCAGATCATGATTCAGTACCTAATTTAGCTTCTGTCAAGGGGTAAAATATTTCTTTAATAAAAAAGAGGCGCATGCACAAAGTTCAGTATACCTCAAATAATATGGGAAGTTATCAAATGACACTTCTAAGTTTTGGCCATCAAGAATTCCTTCATGAAGTTTCGCTTTGAATACTGCTTTGCAGAATGAAGCAATTATTGGTGACGCTGGCTGTGAATCCTTTGTCCCATCGTTTCGTTCCTTGAATTCCTGTTTACAGAAACTTTTTCAAAATTTCAGATCACAAGTAGTTTTTGGAGCAAACATCCTCCAGAAAGGTCATCGTAAATCATTCACCCAGAGAGTTCTAGGATGCCTGCCTTTGCCTCTGTGCCGGATGAAAATATGGTGGCCCCAGTAACAGTTGATGGATCTCCTGCATTCTGGACCTTTGCAACCTTAAATTCAACCACATCTATGAGTAGCTGAAATATCTAAATCGAGAGAATCAAATTAAGGAAATGACAAACATAAGCATAGACAAAGAAACACATAACCAGCAACATGAAGATTGAAATGACAATAGTAACACTGGCAATAGATTGACTTTAAAAAGTTGCCATCGAGCCCAAGAAAAGGATACATATGCATGATTCACCGACAACCCGAAGACAACCTCATCACCCGAGTAAAGCATGCAAGTAGATTTTATCTTCACCACAGTCCCATTTACTTGCACCGATCCCTTGCTCCCGATGCTTTCTAACATGGCTACTGAACTGCCTTCGCGCTGATTATGTCAACAAAAAATGAGCACTAATACTGCATGTGCATAATAATGAGTCTATCTCCAAAAAGCATACATACGCACAAATCTAAAAATTGAAAAAAAAAACAGGAAAAAAAAACAGAAAACCCTAAATCCACAGAGAAGAAACACGAATTCCTCATCTATGCAGAAGCATTCTTGATTTTGTAGCAATCCGACAAAAAGCAACGAATTGAATGTAAAAATTTGGGCGATACCTTAATGCGTTTGATCGTAAAAAGAAGTTCACTGACTGTCTGGTCCTTTTCTAATTGGAAATCGCATAGTCCACTCGAGCCAATTGCGAAATTTCGCGTGCTAATGGGAACATTAGGGTTCTGCAGTAATAACATAATTTTTATTTAAGTTAAATATACATACATACAAGTATATATATACACAGAGAATATTCTTATCCAAAAGATGATGTTTTCAATACCAGCGCAGACTGTGACATAAGCACGCACCAAGGTATAGGTCTATAACCAACTGGCAGAGAACCTTTAAAACAACAATAAGATTCCAATTCAGTAAAAAAGAAAGTTCCACAAAAGCAAAAGATATGCAAGAATTGAAGTAAACAAACAATGAAAAGATATGATGCGTCTCAAAACTCTCAAATGCAAATCCAAATTCAAATAACCTAATGTGCCAATCACGGAAAGTTGAAAAACTAACAACTGACCCTTAGAGTCAGGGCACTTAACGGGAGGTGCAGCAGCCGATGATACCTCTTCCTTCCCGGCATTCACACTATCTCCGACGATCTGAGCCTCGGTGTTGTCACGATCTGCGGGATCCACAACTAGCTTGGTACACTTTTCTTTCGCACTCTCCACTTCCCCATTCGGCTTCTCCTCATTTTCCACCTGATAAGAAAAAGGAGCCAAAAAGGTCAATAACTAACTGCTCGAATCCGTCAATCTCAAAACCAAAAAAAAAAAAAGCGAATTCGGATGCTTTTCATGCTAACACCTTTTGCCGTTTTGTAGACTCATCTTCAGAAGAAGAATCCGTACTATTGCCGCCAGAGATAGATTGATTTCGTTTCGTTGAAACCATGGCTGTCTGCTACCCAATATTTTTTTTTCTTGTGGGGGAGATTGAATTTATAAAATCGTCAGGTATTTATATAAAAACTGATTTGACTAATGATATTTCTTGATTTTCTTTTTTCTTTCTTCAAAAAAAAAATGAAAATGAAAAATAAAAGGGTTTTTGGTGGAGGGAAGTTTAACGGTATTCACTTTGAGCTTTTAGAGAAATGATACGCCGTCGTACTGGTATGCGATATTATCAAGCGTAAGCGCCAAAATTCAAACGAAGACGAGAGTATGGATATTACAGGAATATCGCCTTGAAAATATGGATTTGTTTGTTTCATATAAAATATTTTTTTGATTTTTTTTTATTTTTTAGTGTTTAGTCGGAGAAAAATAGATTGATTAATGTAAAATATTTTTCTGATCAACAGAACCTCATTTGCATTTTTTAAAAAATGAATTACGGTTTGATTTTTCGTAAGTCATTTTTCGAACTTTTTACTTCAAAGCATAAATACTCAAAATAATATTATTTTATATATTTAATATTAATATAATATTTTAGTATTATTTTAATAAAAATATTAAATATTAACGTATTTAAAATATATTTATTAATATTTTTAAGAACATAATATATAATAATAATATTATTATATAGTTAGTTAAATTATAATAATATATGATATTATTATATTCTTATTTTAATAATATATAATAAATTAATAATAAAAGTTATATTATTTATTAATTTCTTAAAAAATATTATTATATTAATATTAATAATAAATAATAATATTATTTATGTATTTAATATTGATATAATAGTCTAGTAATATTTTAATAAAAATACTTAAAATATATTTATTAATAATTTTAAAAATATAATACATTATTCTTGTTTTAATAAATCTTTAATATAATTTATAATTTATAATTTTTTAATTTTAATATAATATACTAATCTTAACATTTTTATTTATAAAATTTTAGAAATAATATTTTAATAATAATATTAGCATAAATAATATTACATGAATTATTCTAATATTTTTAAAATAATAATATTACATTTTTATAATAAATAATATTATTTATTATATTTCATATTTGAATAAATAATTTCTACAAAATTTATCAACTAGTGGAGATGATTTACACATCTTCCAAACACCGTAAAATGTTTTTTAAAAAATATTTTTCAAAAGATGTAATTCATTTTACGAAAAACATTTTCCAAAAAATGATATCATCATTTAATCATTGACGTAATAAAAATAATATTTATAAAAAATGATATCATCGAGTTACTGAAGTATTGATTAAATTATTTTTCATCACATGGCTAAAAATGATATCATCATTTATTCATTTACATAATAAAAAATTAATCTTAAATGTTTATAAATTTTATCAATTTAGTTTATAATTATAAACTATTTAATATTTTTGTGTTAAATTTTATCATCAATCTTTATATTATGTGTAAATTACAGTTTTAATCTCTAAAATCTAATTTGATCAATTTTAAATTTTATATTTTTATATAAAATTTAAAATTGCGATTAAAAACAAAATAATAATTAAATTAAATTAAATTTTAAAAAATAAAAATGATAAAATTTGAAAATAAATACCAAATCTATAACTTTAATGCAATAACTAATAATAAATTTAACTTTGTAAATTTAACAACAGTGATTGAATTACGATTGAAAATTGAAAATTTATTATAATGTAAGGAGTAGTGACCAAACTTCAGGTGGGAATTGCAACCCATAAATCTAAAAATCTAAAGTTTAATTATATTAGGTTTCACATAGGAATTATTGTTTAAGATGAATTCAACGGATTTTGACTCGATCGATTTTATAAGATGATTTTTTTTATAAAAAAGAATTAAATTTAAATCGGATCAAGTTTTGTGAAAGATAAGATTAAATCAGGTCGTGTTTAAATTTACAGTAAAAATCTTTATTTATAATTTTTCTTTATATATTTAAAGATAATTACAATAATACATTTCTTTTTAATTTTTTAAAATAGATCTCTATTTTATCAAATAATTTTTTTTAATATTTATGTCGCAACAGTCAGATGCAGATTTTTAATAAAAAAACTCAAAATGATTGAACAAATCATTCATCGTCTTTATATTATTATTCTCCATGAGCAATTTGTTGTTTCACAAATCTTTTACCATCGAGCAAGAGTTTCGAAATAAGACGCCCTATGTAATTTTTACAGACAAAAGAATGTAGCTTCTTAGTGAGCAGACAGACAAAATCACTTTCTTGCATGCATTTACGAAGAAGGCCTTCACACGAAGTAGCCGGGAGCCTCCTTTCGTCTCAAACCACGCTCGTTGTAGAGCTCGTTCCATTGATGCAGAGTGCTCATGTTTACGGACGCCGACCATATGCTGGAACGTACCCTTTCATGAGCATTTTTAAAGTCCTTCATGTTTAAAGAGCGTAAATAGCAACTCATGCTCGGAGTTGGTGCAGTGCAGGTTTGCCTTCGGCTCGAGCAGCAGCTTGTTCCTGCCATCAATGCCGAAAACGGTCAGTTCGATACTAAACAACACGGTTGCAATTCCGACTTATGTACTAATTTCATCAAGTCTTCCTTCATTACCTGTCTCTCCTTTCAGGAATCTCTTGAATTGGACCGTGCGCAGCAGTCACATACAGATTCTGCAACAAAAAACAAGTAACAATCAGTCATCTAAATCATCAGAAGGAAAAAAGCAATCCAAGTCTAATGTAACCTTAAGGTCTCTCCCGGAATATCCGTCCGTCATACTCGCAATAGCATCAAAATCGACATCAGAAGACACGACCTCTTTTTCTAGAAAAAGATTGAGTATCTTTGCTCTATTTGCAGCATCCGGTAGGTCCACCAGCAATCTACCAAAATTGCAGAACTATTAGTATACGGTACCAGCAAGTTTAAAGAAGCACATCTGTAACTCAAAGGTGAATGTCGAATACAGGAAATCAACCAAGAAGAACCGAAATGATACTTCACCTGCATGGCAGCCTTCGAATGACAGCCTCATCGAGGTTGTAAGGCCGATTAGTAGCAGCAAGTACAAGAACCCGTCGGTGTCTTTTGTACATAGAACATCCCAGTTCATCATGAATTCATTTTTTCATCTTGCGCATGGCTTCATGCTTCTGGGAATTCTCCCTCTGGCTCAACATGCTATCAACCTATATAGTTCAGCACAGGGATGAAAGCAAAATCACAATAACTTTGGCATAGCCCCGAAATTAAAATTCGAATAGAGTTTCACGAATAACCAACCTCGCCAACAAATACGACACATGGAGCGATTTTACTAGCTAGGGAAAAAACAGCTTTAACATATTTCTCAGCCTTACCAAACCAAAAGAGATATAAAAGTTCCATAGAAGATATCACAGAATCTGATATTATTGTAATTATTCCTAAATATATAAGATAAAATTATATATATTTTTTCGACCGGGTCGAATATTTTTCACCATAAACCTAAATCCGACCCGAACATCACATTAAAAAAACCCGACTCAACCCAAAACCCGAATTTTTTAAAAAAATTGACTCGATCGGGTCGGAACCCGTCGGGTTTGAGTCCTATGCCCATCCCTAAGTATCAATGTAAGTAAAAAGAAAATATCATACTTATTTTTCAAATGAAACTTTTAAGTATCCGCCATCAAACAATACAAAAAATTATCAAATGACACTCGATACTTAGAAGTGTCATTTGATAACTTTCGGTATCATTTGATGGGTGATACTTGAAAGTTTCATTTGAGAAATAAGTATGATTTTCTCTTTTCACCGATACTAGAGAAAATCTTCTAGTATACCTCGAGCCCAAGAAAAGGACAGGGCCTCATTGTGATCCAACCTCTTTAACCATCCTTCACCGAGACCGAGTTGGTGGTCTTCGCGTGTTTGTTGACCATGGAATGGCGTTCGATTACCCCGAATTTCGAAGGGTTCGTCGTTAACATCGGAGACAACTTCATGGTAACATACTCTGTTCATTTAATCCATAACATCTTTGAACTGTAAAAATGCTTTGGTCTGATGATTAAGTCCTTCAGGCTTTGTCAAATGGAAGATACAAAAGTTGCTTGCACCGGGCGGTTGTGAACAGCCACACCACAAGAAAATCACTTGCTTTCTTCTTGTGTCCAAAGGGTGATCAAGTGGTTACATGGCCTATGCTGCTTGAATTCACACAAAAGCACTACAGAGCCGACATGAATACTCTTAAAGCATTCTCAAGATGGGTTCAACAGGAAAGCCACTGAACCCACTGTCTTGTAAGGAAAAAAAACCAGACATTGACATGTCAAATAATTTGTTTCATGCACTTGGTATAAAAATTTAACTCAAACATTTAAACACAAGTCCATATTAATATAAGTTAGGAGACCCAATGAACGCAAGTTTCACATACTTCAGGTGGGAATAAACTTCAACATAGATTTAAATAGACACCACGCAATCTCCATCAACAAACTTGAGTCTTGAGCACCTCACAAAAACAATGAAAGAAAAACATGATAGTTTCCGAATTGTGATCCATCACTCAGCACTGCTTCGTATGGATTGACCCTTTGCTTTCCTCGGAGCCAACTGAGTCTCCGGCTGCAAAAACGAAAATCAAATATTATGCAATGCGATGTCACAACTACAACCAATAACACTAATGAAGATTCCTAGCGATACCAATGAAGCTAATTTTCTACTTGAAATGTTTACCTCTTTCTTGACAGGTTCCTCTTTCTCAGACAAAATCAGTTCAATGTGGCACGGTGAAGACATGTAAGCTGCAAAGGAAAAACGACATCAACACAACTCGGAAAATTTAAAACCACAACCCACAAGTAATATAAAGGCTGGTCAAAGAAGTCACTAACGGTTAATTCTTCCGTGTGCACGATATGTTCGACGCCTTTGCTTCTGAGCTTGATTGACTTGAATGTGAGATATGAACAGCGAATCTACATCCAAGCCTTTCACCTAAGAAAAAGTGGAATGACGATGAGACAAGTTCAAAAGTTAGCAATGTGGCCGGAATAGAGTAAAACACATATTCATTGATAGATACCTCAGCATTGCTCTCCGCATTTTTTAGCAAATCAAGAATGAATTTTGCAGATTTCACAGGCCATCGACCTTGTCCATTTGAATGACGATTCTTAGCCTGTGCGGTTCGCCCAACTCCACGACAGAAGCGCCGGAATGGTATAGCTTGCTTGTGCACGATGACATCCTCCAAGTACCTTTTAGCCTTAGTCAAAGGTAGCTTTTGGATTGCAAAGGCAGTTTCCCGTGTATTCTGTTAGATATAAAGTATAAATCATTATTACTGCCGATATATTTGGCACGACGATCGGGTGCCGTCATTGTAATTAGTCATCTTACTAACACCTTAACCATCCTAGGCCCAAGCTATTGGCACCACAAGCCACAGCTACAACCATACTTGTTATCTATAACAGTTATGTACTACTAAAAATGCTTACCTAATACTTAAATTATTTTTCCATACGACCAACCGGTTAAGCCTCGGCAGATCGATCTCCAGTCGAATTTTTAAAACATCGACGTGTCACAGTTAAAGAATAAAGCAAGTAAAGCCGTCTTGTTAACTCCACAATTTAGCAGAAGCATGAATTTTACTAATCTAAATGTAAATTGTTTAAAATTTCACAGATAATCACTAAAATGAGATAAACATACCTTAAAATGAACACGAAGATCTGAGCCCCTAGCTTTGCAAGCTGAAAACACATGTTATAAAATAACCAACAATCAAGCTCCAATCTTATCCAAAGAACTAAACTAACTGCAATAAATGATTTTAAAACAGAAACGAGAACAAAAAATAAAATCGAGTATTGCATTTAGGTTTCCTGCAGTTTTCCCGGCTACCAAATAGAAGATAAAACCTGATCTTAAGTGAAACTGATAAATAAACAACGAAAACAAGAACTTACACTTGGTGGGGTTGTCTGGTTCTCTCGAATACTTCACCTAAGAAAAGGAGAGAAAATGGAAACGGATTTTTTTTTGGAATTAAAGTTGAATATTTCTAAAGAAAAACGGAATATAAGCAATAATGAGGAAGATTGACGAACCATGGCTGCTGCTCCTCTTGAGTGTAACAGTTCCCTGCTATACTACAAGAAAAGAAATGCTGTGTTAGGGTTTCTTTAACAAATAAAAGGATACGAGTTTCTATAGGGCCTCATCTTCTACTCCATATATTAAACCCAATTTTTCTTAATTTATTGGGCAAATTTCAAGACCCTCTATTTATCACCAAAACTAATTTAGATATTTTTATCATTCATATTATGATTGATATTTTTATAGATATATAATTATTTTCAATTATAATTTAATTTAAACATTTTTTGTTAGAAATGTAACAACTGTTTATTCAAAATATAACAATATAATAGCTTTTTTATTTAGTAAAGTGGTTAAGTAAATAAAGAAACTTCTTCTGAATAGTCTCGGGTATAAATGATAAAATTTAACAATGCACAAACACACTACAAACATAGCTTCTTGAACTCAAAACTTTTAAGTAGAACAACATTCTTTTTTACCATTGAGATCTTTTCATGAGTTCATCAGATAATGATTTCTATCCAAAATAGATTATTTTGACTAAAATTAAAATTTTAAGTGTTCATAAAATAAAAAAATTACTCAAACAAACATTTTTAATGAATTTCTTATCTTAGAATTATTCTTAAAATAAAAGATTACATCAAATTAATTAAAATAAGTGGGTTATGTTCAAAAGGTTTTAGCATTCATAATTCTTATATTTATTATAAATTAATCCATTTAAAAAGATAATAAATTTAATATAAGTAAATAATTATTGATTGAACCTGAATTGACATACAAGAGATTTTAAATTTAAATTCGTCAATTTCCTTTAATTTAAAGGTTGAATGGAATTATGACCAATTTCTGTGGGGCCCACACGCTATGGGCTAAAAGAAATATATCTTTTAGTAAAACTCATCAAAGGTCATGACACAATTATCATAGATCTTAAATTAGTTTTTAGGCTGACGTATAAACCTAAATAATTATCCCAACATCAATATTGGGCTAATTTTCCCGTAAATTGTATCTTAAAAAACAATTAAATATTTTATTAATATCAAAATTTGTTTTTTGGTTAATTTTAAATCACCCAAATAGCGAAACTTAACATGACCCTAAAGTAAAATTATCCAATCTAAATCACTTGATTTGAGCTTAAAACGGCCCAAATAAAAAATCGAGCAAAATCCGAAGTCGACATGATTCGAAAATTTTAAAATCATATTAACGAAAACCGGCCCGACGTGCCGATTTAACCGTCAGGCTCAAAGTAATTACACAATCACTGCCCTGAAGAAATTCTAAAATTTCTGGATTAAGCTCCTATTATATACATAGTAAACCATTATTCATTCTTACAAGTTCTCAAAGTTCTAACTCTTCCCTTTTTAGGCCACAACGATTGCTGCTGCATCGATCCAACTCTCGAGCTGATTCGTTAACACATTTCAAGCGCGCAATCAGCTCGTCCTGCATTTAATTAATTAGCTAAGCATGTATTGAGAATGTAGCTTCATTGCACCTAAAAGCAATATGAAGTACGACACGCACCAGTACACCTAAACTTGATCACGATGCTTAAAATATAAAGAAGAATTTAGGAAGCATCAAAGAAAGGTTTCACTAGAACATGCCTTCTTTCCTTTGGGTGAAAGTCCTCTTTCCTTAAGAAGGGCACGAAGCCTCTCAACAGTCAAACTATGGTAGTCCTTATAAGTTGCGCTACTGCTCAATCCCTCTGCATGTTTTCGTGTATTTAGGGGAATTTAAGATAATAATTCTCAGTAGAATCAAAGAGACTGACTTTTAACAGATCATCAACATAATGTTGTTAATCAACTACATGAGGCACAACAGATGGGCCAAGGCTGACATAAAATACAAAGAACAAAATGCACCACTGTTAATTACCATTATGTAGGACAATCGTTACTCGTAGAGAGAATTGTACTATAAACTCATTTTAAGCATGTCAATCGAAATACCAGCTATAAATGACCACGGCGACATTCTAGTTTCTCGGCAATGTTTACTCTCTACAGTGAACCACGCATGTGCAAACACATACATGCTACTAGGACAAAACATCTATTGACTGTGAGAAATACTTCTTGTATTGTCTTTCTTTGCTGAAGTACTGCTATCCATGACTTTTTCAACAGCCCTGAGGGAAAAAATTGGCAGGGACAAAACAATCTAGCCTAGACATCACGTATGACCACATATAAGAAGATGCCTTTTGTTCTAGATCCTACCGGAATGCAATAGAATATGATGCAATCTATGAATGAAGCTACAAAGGATGCTTAGATCCCTATCCCCAAATAAGGATAAAAGGGAATAACAAGACAATTAACCAAATTGTAACAAGCCAAATTAAATACCATTCACTCGAGAAAGATGAAATCAACACCTCTCTCTAGGACCCTCAGCAGCGGCTTTTGAATCCTTTGAACTAGAATCACCCTTCTTGTTATTAAGCATGTGTGACCTAATTAGGGATGGCAACGGGGCAATTTCGAGCCGGGGATTGGTCCCCTCGTCCTCGTCTCCGTTTAAAAAACTCGTACCCACTTAAAAAAGGGCGAGGATTTAAACGGGGATCCCCTTCGAGTAATCGGGGAAAACAGCGGGGAAACAGGTATCCTCGTTTAAATAACCATTTACCTTAGATGGTTATTTTTCACCGCGGGGATCTTCGTTACTGTTTAAATTTCACACGATGACACGAGTTATTTAAAAAATAATGTCATTATCGGATCTAAACTTACTTGAAACGCCAAACACCACCAAATGCATCCAAAATATAAAAACAAAACAATTCAAATAGACATATATAATGACAATGACTAATAATATAATGTTTCAACTTTCATAAACGAAATCATTCTTCCAAAGTTCCAACTTCCAAGTCACGTCAACGACACCACCACTGTCATCAAACAATTGTGACCCCTTGATTGCTACAATTACACAAAAAAAATTATAAAACACCAAAATTTATATAAAAAAGTTAATGATATCATGTATAACTTGTATATTAATTTAGTACCTCGTCACCATCATCACGATCATATTCGATGCTTTTACAATATGCTTCGGACTCTTGTGAACAAGTTGTACTTATTAATTTATATAACATATCATATCAACAATACAATTATATTTTTTTAATTTAAATTAAATTTATTAATATTATATATATATAATAATTATTTTTAATATTTATTGGGCCGAGTATCAGGGCAGGGATTACTAAACCCGTCCTCATCCCCGTTTAAAAAATTCGGTTTTTCCCCGTCCCCTTTATCATCCCCGAACCCGACCCGTTTAATTCGATTTTCGATTTTCCCCAACAGGTTCAGTTTTTTTTGCCATCCCTAGACCTAATAAGAATGTTCTGTTGGCCCGTCTTTATGCGCTGGCTCTCTGGATATACAAGGAAGAGTAAAACCATCTAGCTTGTAAATAAGAAAAATCTCACGGCTATTTTCTTGCGCTCTTCTCATCTTGTTGGGAACCCAAAAGATAACAAGAAGAAAAATGCATGCATGTTCAAATTATAAAACAAGAGGGTGTAATCGAGTTATTGGAAGTTTCCTTTTGCGCATTTATGCATAAAACATAAAGCTATAACATAGAACATTGAAATCAAATTATGATAGAAATTCAATTCCCACTAAACTGGTTAGATGAAAGTTCATTATAAATTCAAGATATAAGTTGAAATAAAAACCAAGTTTCCCTCAAGACATACTTTTTTTTATAGAAATTGGAGGCTTCATTAAAAACTCTCTTCGTATTCGTCCACATACTAAGAAGTATGTTAACGAACATTGAAAGGAAGAAAAGAGTACCTCATAGCTTATTAATAATAGTAACAAATACATATGGAAACACCGAATATTCTCAAATGGAGAAATACACCATTACAACAAACCAGAAACACCTAAATCTCTCACTTCCTTAACCAGAAAATCCCATCGACAATCATCCTGTTTCTACTTTACACCTCCAGCAAAAGGAACAAACCAACGCAAAAGAGCAAAACACAAAAGAAAACCAACACCTGCAACCATTAAAGTAAATCAAAGCCCCAATTGAAGAAAAGAGATCTAATGAGTATCGACTTTGTCAAGGACCCAAGAATTTGGTTTGAAGGAAGGCTCAATTTCATGCACCATGATTTTGAATGAGTTAGCACCGACTTTCAACTCCAACGACTCGTCAATTCTCAATTTTGCCTTTGTGAGGATTTGAATTTTTGCCCGATCAAAAGATGATGGTGATTGACAGCTTTCGTCGATTGCTAATAAATTACCCCACTTGTCTGCAATGTTTTTGAAAATATTCCAATTCCAAGCGTGAAAAGGCACTCCCTCGCAAACTAACCACACTCGATGACATTCCACCACCAGACTTTCTGACCAGGCTTCAACTCTGGAGAACCACTTAGTGAGAGTCTGTAATCCATCATTCTTCACACTTCTCAGTGAAAAAGAGTCTTCAAAAATCATAAGTACTGCATTTCCAACAGCCCTCATCAATGAGAAACCAGTGAGTCCATTGGCTTGCATTTGACTAGCGAGATTACCGATTTTGATAAAGTCCTTGCACCAACCCACTAGACATTTACTCAACACGTGGAGTTTATCCTCGTCCATAACACCTTCAACTTCACTATGAATATTTCTCGAAACAACTTCCATCCCCGACTTATGGTGAATAGTTGTAGAGGACTTTCTAAAAAAAAAATGTCAAGGTTTAAATTTAGCCAAAGAAACACCAATTTTGGTTCCTTCAATATAGGAGACATTCATTTATGAGATTGCTTTCCTTGATTCTTTGATTTTTGCAAAACAAATGAACCCAAAACGAACGCCTTTTGATTTTTTTTTTTGGAATGAAAGCATCAATAATCAGATCGTGGATGCAAAAAAAAGATCCAAACCTCTTCCAATGGATCTTCTCTGGTAAGTTTTCGATAAATAACGTGTAACAACCACTTTTGTACCCATTACGTTTTTTCAGTTGGCCTTCCTTCCACCAATTGTGAAACTCGATTCTCCTCCTTCTTACTTCTTCAGACGACTTTTCATCGGAATACCCCTTCGAATGCATTTCCCCACTTGATCTCGACTTAAACTGACCCCTTCTATCTCCACCACTCAGCGACTGCTTCCGATTACCACCATTAACAATTTCCTTCTCAACAGGAGTATCCTGCCATTCACGGCCCTCGGCGAGACGATTTTTCGGCTGTGATTGGGTAACTCGTTGTCACCCCTACCCTTCATCTTTGAGCCAGAACTCTCGGGCAAAACCATTAATCGAAATCTGACCTCTCCGTTGGCAAAACCCAAAGGTGAGAAGGCCTTATATAACCTCGGAACCAACCTACCTCGGATCCGAGACGATCCAGTGGCTACCGAAGGAGAATACATTATAAGTCGAACTGATGTCGTCCGATTTAAGGAGAAGGAACCCAAGCTCAGAACTGAATTACTGTAGTCAGAAATAGTAATCGTCAACGGCGACAGTATTGAAGAAACACTCGGCTTAGGTTCACTGTGGAAGCCTATCCTTGATGCTGGCGTCGAAGCGAGCAAACCAGGAAGTCCCGGTGTTCAATTGCGGAAGAGAAGGACGGAAAGTAGGATGCCGTCAGGGAAAAGGCTGAAGTAGTGATAATTGGAAAATAGGTTTGGGTTAGCAGTGAAATGGAGGAGGAGGTTGCGTCGGTCGGTGGTGGATAATCTTCTCACAAAGCAACAAACTTGTTTCTTCAGGAAAAGCGGCTGGCAGAATCAACAATCTTCCTCTAGATCTACAACGATCTAATTCAATTTTGAAAAAACCAGTGTCCGATCCATGCTTGGGGTGAAGAGAGGATTCAAATGGTATATTTTCCTTCTTTTTCCGATGCCGGCGAGCGACGGTTGGAGACTATTGACAGTGACTGTTGCGGCAGTGAAGTGGTGGCCGACCACTGGGTTATGAATAGAGTGACGTCGGGGAGTGTGTATGAGATTTTCAAAGAAAGAACTTTTTTGAAAACGCCTGATTTTTAGAGAGAAGCTGGAGCTTCTCTCACTACACCTTTTTGACTTTTTTTACAGTCACTTTCAAATTTCCCTCAAGACATTCTGAAATTAGAAAGTCCATAAACCATAATAAGATGAGGTTTACAAATACCTGGAGGAGAAGTACTGTGCTCACAAATATAAACTCGCAGCCCCCCTGCAAAATTTTGCAATATAAGCAAAACTATTTTTGATCCTGATGGAGAAGTATAGGTTATTGCAATAATTCAAGATTACTTTCGCACATAATTATCCCAAATCAAAACTAAGATCCCCAACAAAGAAATTTACTGAAGACAACCGAAAAAGGTAATTCCAAAGATATCATACTTTGAACCATATCTCTACATACAAACCGTGGCACTGTCTTGAAATAACATATTTCACTCATGAATAATTTTATTAGCTCAAGTTACTAATTGCTCTCCCATGCTCAATTTGATAACAAAACAAAGTCAATGATTGCTCTCTACATTCCATGTCAAATGTTACGACACAAAACATGCTTACAAGAGAACGCTAAACAGGAAAACATGACACTCTATTCGATTGGTACATTCAAATGTTTGCCAAAACTCCCACCCCAAAATGAAACTAAGATCCCCAAAAAGAATTTTACTGAAGACAACTGAAAACGGTAATTCCAAAGATATCATACTTTAAAACACATCCCTAAGCACACACCCTAGCATTGTTTTAAAACGATTTTCACTCGTAAAGAATTTTCATCAGCTCAAGTTACTAATTGCTCTCTACTTGTCAAATGTTCCACTGTAAAATTTTAGCAAACCATCAATCAAACATAAATTTGATCACATTTGTAGTATTCCTCCATAAACAAACTAGTCAAGATAGCCTAAACCCTTGATTTAGAACCCTAATTCATTTTTTTCCATCTGCTAACATCATACGATCCTACTTTAAGATTAATATCCGAAAATAATAATAATAATAACTCATGGCCGGATTCAATTAAACTATATTAATCTCCTAAGCTATTAATAACTCATGGCTAGATTCGGTAAAACTACTCCCACTAACACACAATTTCACACTTATAAATTTTCTCAGCAACATCAACAATAATAATAGGGGATTAAAGATAAGATAAACGGGGGAACCAGATTGGAGGAGATGACGGTGGTAGAGAGGGGTGGCCATGAGAGGGAGGTTAGAGAGGAACTTGGAAGCGCCGGGAGCCGTTTGACCGTGATCAAAGGGCTGAGAAGACGAGCCCTCCATTGGCCTCCATTGAAGGACACCGAACCCTGCCCCGCTACTTCTTTTCTTTTCCCACTATATATATCCAGGAATTTTCATTAGATAATTATATGGACAGTTTGGCTTCTTTGAGAATTTGAACGGAAAAAAACGGGAAATAGATATGAAAACTGGAACGAACCAAACAGGACATTAATTATGCAACTTGATTTATTATATAGAGTAAACTATATATTTAGTACATAAATTATTTCTTTTATTCCGTTTTAGTACTCAAACTTTATTTTTTTAAACTATATCAAACATTTAATTTATGTTTCAATTTGGTACTAACCCTTAAAAATTTAACGATAATGTCAAAGTATCAACATAAGGTAATGTCACGTTATCAATAAAAAATTAAAGAATATCGTATCAACAATTTTGTTAGTTTTTTAGCGGTGATGTATCAAATTGAAACCTAAACATTAGGTATGATTTTGAAAAAAAAATAGAATTTGGTACTAAAATGGAACAAAAGTAATAGTTTAGGTGCTAAATGTGTACTTTACCCTATTATATATTTAATTTTAGATATTCTCCAAGTCACTGTACTCTTCTTACATTTGTAATTTAACCCTTCTAAAATTCATATTTAAAAATCCATGCACAACTAATAACACCATTAACATTATTTCGTTAAATAAAGTGATGTGACATTTTAAAATTAAAAAAAACTTAAAAACTGTGTAGATAAAAATATGATATTGTAGGTAGTAGACTTGAATTTCGTAAGAGAATTTACATTCATTTTACGTTTAAATACTGTATACACAAATGATTATAATTATATTTATATTTCAAATATATATAATTAAAATCATATGTGCAATTGAATCACGAATGTATTAGTAAAGCAATATGGCATACTTTCAATACCAAAAATATAAACGCAATTAGTTGATATACTACAGAACCACAGCCTTTTGTTATGAGGGTATGTATACTCACGCTACTCCGACTCTTCATTTTTCTAAACTTCCTGCATCGAATACGTATACGAGGGCATCCCCACATGATATGAGGATATGATGCATATATTTGGAGGATCATATTCAATACTCAAGTTCAAAATTGTACTAGATATGAGTGTCCGACACGAATACTTCAAGAAATCGGTAGTTCTACTGCCCTCACTAGGTAATCCAGCCACTCAAAAGTGATTTCCGTTTGCCAGATGCATTAGCAGCCATTGTTAAATCGAGCCAGAATCAGTGATGGAGCATGAAAGGTAGAACAATGGCGAACAATGAAGTAAATCTCGAAACAATTGCGGAACAGAGATCATTGCATAATATTCCTAAGCAGTAATATTTGCACATAAAATGCATGAATTAAAATCACCATAGTCTAATAAATCACAAGCAAAATCTATACCTAATGCTGTAGAAGAAAAGGTTATCAGTACAGCATGGAGTAGCTGTATCCGGGTTCATTTCTTCCTTGAAAACACAGGTGCAAGCTTTTTCTCCAACTCTAGTAAGCTGAAATTTCAATACAACTATTACCGAACAGACCGAGAAAATATTCTTTTACATCGTAAAGGTTCGGCTAAAACAACAGAAAATAAAATAAAATGACTCACATCTCATATTTACGCCTAGCTTCATTCCGTTTTGCTATGTAGAGGTCACTATCTTTAGGTAAATTGTTCAAAGGATTGCCTACATAAATATGAGAAAAAGAGATTTAGACTGAAGTAACAGATAACATGCTCATTGTTCATATTCTATTACATGTTACATAAAGGAAACATATTCTAGCTTTTTTCTCATTTATCATGAAATATGATCCTTTCTTTTCTTTTCTACTTCAATACGAAAATTCCAGAAAAATCAAAGGAAGAAAGCAAGTGTAAAAGCAACAAACTACAAAAAGAAGCCTTCAAAACAGTGCAGAGCTCATAAGTTAGCATCTAAGCATCAATATAGCCATTAAAACTCATCATCGTAGATTATGACACAAAATCTGTGAAGAGAGGGAAACAAGAAAAGAACATCCCACTAAATTTTAGTTAATAGTTATAACGGTATGATTATAAATCGTTACCGTTTGATTTGAACTAAATTGAAGAGTTTGTGAACATTGATTTAATCAAAATTGCCATTTCAAATTTCATACACGCAGAGGAAGGTTTGCACTTGTGGAGGTGTATGTCTCGACAATGATTCTGTCTTTAGTCTCCTCTCAGACACCGGTGGATCCAAAAATATTTTTTAGGGTGAGCACACATATGATAATAACACAAAATTTTTGTATGCAGGTAGCAACAAATATAAAGAAATTCAGATTTCAGGGAGGGCAAATGTGGATCCGCCAGTGCTCTCAAGAAAGACACTCTTTCGGTATTTAACATCAACCTGCCCTATACATCAATAAAACCAACAGAAATCAGGCATACTTGGAACTGGTGCTGGTTTTTTTGCCATTACATCCTTCCGAACTTTCAAAACGCTTTCTTTATTCAACGGCTGCGATACAACCTGTTCAAGTAAAGGCAATCACACTAATCTGATTAGTACAAAAGCAGTGAAGTATTAGCTGAAATCTGCAATCAACCAAGCGAAATAGATGAAGCTGATCCTTAGTGAGTTCAATGCTATGAAATGAGTATTTACGGCCATGGATATGATAAGTAAAACATAAAGCAAAGATATTTATCCGGACACATATTCCGACTAAATTCACATTCCGTACACTAAAAGATCAAAACATTAAGTAGAACATGAAATATCAATTGCAGCACCTACATTAAAAGTGAGAAGAATCGTTACCTTCTTTTCCCTCCTCTTTAATATCTTTAAATGGCACTTTTTTATATAGTGCATCAAATGATACCGAGAATGTCTAGAGCACAAATGGTCCTTGACTTGTTGGTTATTGTTTAACCAATCCGAAATGTCTTTAGATTTGACCGGTTCATCGGTATCCAAAGATTCTAACCAAGAATAGACTGGTATCCACTGATCGGTGCGCTGAAACCGAGCCGGCGGAAGTTCATGCTGACTTGGTTCTCTGTCCTACCAAAAGAGACAGTACAAAAAAGGATAAGCACAAAGAACATAAAACTTCAACCTCAACCTCAACAGTCCAGAAGAAACAATAACAACAAAATAACCCAGAAAATTTACGGACAAATTTGAAGAAAGCAAATAAGTAATTTTCATTTTATTGCATCCTTATTCAAATCGTATTCAGTCTATCTGTACAGATATCCCCAAAGCAAGAATTAAAGAAACACTCCTTTTAACTTACAAGCACTGAACCTCTCCCCATGTTTTGAACTCTCTACTTGACAAAATCACATTCCAAGCATCCGAAACAGTAAGTAAATAAATAAAATAGAAACCCCAAAATTATTTATTAATTAATTTCTGGAACCATTTCTTTCCATTTTTGACCTATGACTAGTAGGGGTGAACAAAACTAGACAAAATTCGAAAAAAATGAATTTTTCAACTTGATTTGTCGTTAAAAAACTTGATTCGATTTGACTTAATTCGTAATTTCATAAACTTGACTCGACTAAAAAAATTTCAAATAAAGTTTGAATTATAAAATAATACCCGAATAACTCAAAATTTTTAGTAATTAGTAGATTAATTAGTACCATAAACTCGAATAAGTCATATATGATTATAAAAAACTGTTTAAATCAGTATCAATTAGTAGTATAATATTATAAATATTTATAATTAAATTTAAACATAAACTCAAACAACTCGATTTAAATTTTATAAACTACACTCGACTTAGAAAATTCTCAAATGAAGATTTAATTATAAAATAATAATTACGAACTCGACTAACTCGAATTTTTTTTAACTCGCAAATACTCACCCCTAATGACTAGAATATCCAAGCAATTAATAATACAGTGATCGGGCTATTAAATTAAATCTGCATATTAAAAACTGAGATTGATATACCATATATTATACTAAAAGAAAACCACTGTAGTAAATGCTGAAAAAAGAGAGTGAAAGTGAAATTAAAACCTGGGTCTGGGAGGGAAATCTGAGGTAATTATGGATTGAAAGGAGTCTTTTGATGAGCTCAGATCGTGGCATGGATTGGAGATCGGCTGGTAACGAGCCGAAGTTGGAGTCGATCCAGACTTCGACTTGGCTCACGGTCACTGCTTTTGATTCTGGAAAAGATCTCACCCAGGCTCGAGCCAGGGTCTCCCATTCTTGAGTCTGTTGTTGCTCTTCAAGGAGCTGATTTTTATGGCTCCGACTGGACGGTCTAAGTTCGTCGTCTAGGGTTTGCTCCGTTGATTTCGACATCTCGTCCGGTGCGGCCAATTTTTTTTTCCCTAACGGAGAAACTTTTGGTTTTTGTTTTCTGTTTTTGAGAGTTTCCTTTGTCTTTGGAGCACAATGGAAACGGCGACGTTTTGGTTTCATTCTCGCATTTCCCTCGAAATTATTTAGGGTAAACTACAAGTTTAGTACTTAATCTGTTGCTTTTGTTTTGATTTGGTACCTAAACTTTATTTTTTAAAATCATATCTAACATTTAGTTCATGTTTCATTTTGATACTCACCGTTAAAAACTGAACGATGATATTGACATGTCACCATAAGACAATATCACATCAATATTGAAAAATAAAATAAAATAATATCACATCAACAGTTCTATTAATTTTTTAATGATGAGTGCCAAATTGAAATATAAATTAAATGTGAGATGTGATTTTATTAACTTGCTATAAAAATAATAAGATTTAACAAATCCAAATTGATTTTTATTTTCTAAAAGTTATAATCTTTTAATAGTTTGGGGTAATTATAAAATACAGTATTTGTTCATAATTTTTCTTAATTATTGATAATATACATATCCTACAGACGCAACTATTAGAACTCAAAATCTCAAAGGACACGATCAGATATCTCGAGGAAGAACTAAGATGCTACCGTATGAAATAGAACTACATTGTTTTTGCTGCATATTGAACACAAGCAGACAGTTCAAATATAATGCTTATTGTAACACCCCCAACCCGTACTCGACCCGAATACGAATCTGAGGTGTCACATTGACATTTCAAAACATTTACTTATACAAAATAGTGAATACTTTTAAAACTTTTATTAACACACAACTATATTTACATAAATTACAATCATATGATTTTACAAAACCGATTAGAGCGTATCAGATTCAAACCTTTATTTACATGCCAACTACAATCAATATTATAAAATACATACTATTCATTTCTCTTCTGATCTGACCTTCAGTAAGGAGAAACTGACCTGTCTTGCTCTTCATCGTTCCATAAGCTTGTCAAAACCTACGTGTGAAACACTCACACGCTAAGTCGTTGACTTAGTGAGACATATAAAACATATAATTTAAACTCTTACTTATAACAATGCATGTACAATTAATACTATCATATCATGCAAAACCATATATCATTTCATATAATCCAATATATTCATATACATAACTCATCCTTTCCATATTTACCTCATTCCATTATCATTTATATATTTTAGTCATTCTTAATTAAACAATACACACAAAACAACTTATATTCTATCACGCATAGCATCATATAATCCTTGTAATCCATTCCTAATAACATGTCACACATACACATATCACATATAATATATTTATATTATTGCTTGATTAGCCCATGTATACTGTTGAGAACTTAAGGTATGTGAGTACATTGAGATTGTGCACAAACGTTGTCACCACAGCTCGTATAAATGCAATGAAGTGCCACGTAGAATTTGCACTAAAGTGCCGCGTAGAAATGCACCGTAGTGCCATATAAGATTATCCATAAGGACCACATAGAAATTCCTTAAGAATCATATACATATACCAAGGATCAAGTAGGTGTCTCAAAAGACCTCATACATGTTCCAAAGAATACATATATGTCTCGAAGGACCACATAGAATTATCCCGAAGGACCGCGTAGACCCTCGACTCTTGGCATGCCAACTATACCTCTAGATCTCATGACATATAACATGGGCATTATCTTTATACTTATCATTTCACATAACACGTAGTTCACTTCCATATATCACATAGCTTATGTCACAAAACTTGGATCACATATACATATAATCACGTAGATCACTTTTACATAGCTTATATTTTATTATTATGACTTCTCAAAGTCATAACATTCATATGTTCATTTTCTTCTTCTCATAATCCCATCCAGTCACGTAGTTCATTTCCATATAATTCATATACCTATATTATTTTTCATATAATCACATAGTCGTATAATATTTCATATGACCTCATATATCACACCACATAGATACATACTCCAATACTCATAGGTACATATCTCTTAAATTATTCCTATTTACATTATTCAGGGTCATATAGATTCTATCACAAAGTCACTTATTTTTATAAACACATAACCTATGTCATATTTATAAAAATATATCTTATATTATATATGCATATCATCACTTTGTATTCAAGTTCCCTAAGTGTTATATTATTCTCAGTTCATTCTATAATTCAATCTTCTCTAGTTTTCTTCAATTCTCCATAAATCATATAACTCTAATGCACTAATTCTCATAATTGATCACACCACTATGTACTTGTCTTATCCATGTTTCTATTATTTGTATAACCTTTACAAATGTTTACTTAGTTCCTATTGTTCTCAGGAATTATCTTTCATCATATTCTCATATTATTACACACTTTATTGTTGAATGATGTTTGTTATAACAAATTTAAGGAAAGAAACATTTTTATGAATAGTACTATATGATATGAACAATACCGTGAACAGTACTGTGAATAGTACTGTGAACAGTACCGAATGCTAAAATTTTCCAGAATGCTACAGGGGTATCGATGCCCTGCTACAGTGTACTGATACCCTGCTACAGTAATTTCGGCAAAACATGTATAAAACTCATAAAATTTAAACTTTTCATCACAATAAATTATCATTTACATAAATACGATTAAAACATTACGAAACTCCATAATATAATTTATATTTATTCTCTTATAACTCATCATACTCATATATTTTCATTTTCATTTATCACATAGATTTTATCACATGACTTATCTTTTATACTCACATAAAACACATACCACATACCATAACCTATCAACTCATATAATCAAGCATACATACAAATCATGTCATTCACATACTTATAATCATAAATTCATGCATTCTAATATAGGAAATAGACTTATCGCAAGTCTTAATTCCATAGCATAACTTACCTGATGCGATCATGCCAAGGACCAAACTTCTTCAACACATGATCACTTCATGGACATTCTACCTTGTTGATTCTAAGGGAGTCTTACCTTATTTTATTATTTATTTACTCATTTATGCATTACATGTCACGTGAATATGTTTATCTTATTCTTAATTTTTTCTTGAATATTATATGCTGTCATTTATATGTATAATATATGATATTCATGCATGACTTATTAATTCACATCTTTATATAACTCATTCAATGCATATGCATTCATAGTTACCTCATTTGCATTATTAACATAGGTGGAAGCATGCATTCATAAATATCATAGTTCAATTCCTATCTAATTATTTGTTTACATACTTTGTCTAGGTTCATTGGATGCTAAGAAGACTAAAGGCAATTGAAGAGTTGGTTGGACAGTTCACGTCAGTCAGTTTGATATACATTTTTGAACATATTACAAGCCATCTTTGGGTGATGAAGTCTTCTTAACATTTAATCCCCTATCTCTTATATTTCCAACGCATTTTGAATCACATCAATCCGATAGCGGGAGCTTGAGATATGCCCAGATTACTGAACACAGTGCAGGCTGGAAAAAAGTACCGGATTTGCAACCATTCATCTCCTTCAAAGGATTTGTGCATGAGAGGCATTAATGGAGACATGCATGGACGAGAAAAGAGTATTAAAATGAATCAGAACATTTTTTTAAGGTGCAAGGTTTCATCCAAAGGCTTTTAAGTTCATCCATTCATGCATATTCATGCAAGAAGCCAAATAGTCATGTTCACACAAGGGGAGAAGAATTTCAGCCAAGATACATTCATGAACATTCATCCATAGAAGACAAATCAAACATGTTCACACATGGGAGGAAGGATTCAGCCATGAAGATACATTCATGAAGATTTATTCATTAATTCATCATACATTCACCATTGACCGTACATTGTATTTCCTAAGGGATGAATATTCATCCATGAATGTTCAATCATTAAATCTTGTATGTGCATCCTAGACATCTCTTTGGCCTATAAATAGATTTCCATTTCATTTGTAAGAACCAATTCACTTTGTTTAATCAAATATTTATGAGAGTTTCTCTCTTTAGTTCTTAAGTGAACTTTATCGACTTATCAAGCTTATGCTTGTGGCGTCACCCCTATCTATGTCACCCTGATACTTCTGGTTCCTATCTCTTTATAGATAGTGGGTCAAAGTCCTTGTTTACCATCCCTTAAAGAAGCAATATAAAGTTTGGGTCTTTGTTCTTTAACATTGGTTATTCTTTGAGTCTTCTTTGAGATACTACTTTTTATATTCATCTCCATCACCTTCATTCTACTTCCATTACCATACTTATCATTTCCTTAAACATATCACCACTATATATATATTCCGCTGCCATATTTATTTTTCCATTTCATTATTTCCATTTAACTATATTTTTGAGCTTTCTTATTTGTGCAGGATCCTTGTTGCTTTCCTAGATCGAAACAATCAAAGGTACAACCTTAACTTCACCATCCATCCAAGTGAGGCTAGGTTGAACTGTATCATTACCCTTATTATCATGTACTCACCTTAGCTACTTGCCAATACCAATTCTTGTTCTCTCTTGAATCTTACTCTGATGACCCATCTGAACGTTACTGTCGTTTTAGAACTTGCTTGTACTCAATATCTACACAATCATACATTTTTAAGGTAATTATCATATATCTACACCTTGTAATTTGTTGCTAATAACTTAAACGAATTTAATAGACCCATATTCACTTTTCCTTTAGGGGGTATTGATACACTCCTTAAGGTATCGGCACCCTTATTGCATTTTGAAATTTTTTGTTCAAGAGGGTATCGGTACACATACATAGGGTACCGATACACTTTGCCCAAAAACAGGTTTTTTCACCCAAAAATTCATCATTTTCAGCTTAAATTCTTCATGTTTCATTCCCTTTTCTATTCTTAACTCAAGTACATATACTTAAACTAATTTCTACTAATTCAATACATCCTTAACCTCAAAATTCAATCTTTTATATGGAAATCAATAATCATACCAAATTTTCAAGATGCTCT